CACACAGCCCACGCCTCTGCCCCGGCTCTATACTGACTTCCTCCAAGGCTGCCGGTCTTTTAAACCTTTAGGCGCTCAGCAAATGGTGATGAGGGGCAGGTGAGTGAAGCGTTAGCCTTGGGTGCAGAAAAAAATGCGGGGGAGGAGCGTGCGTGCGCACACCAAAAAACCCTCAGTAATCAAGGTATAATATTTAAATGCAACATTAAAAAACAAAACAGCCACGGACTAGCTGCCTATTCTGTGTGTCCACCGAGGTCGGAATGGTGTTTAAAGTTGGTTTTTACCTTGACTCGGGATCAGAAACAAATTGCACATTGTGACCTCCCCACCCCACCCCCCCTCAAAAGACATCTCTGGTCTGAAACCAAAGCTCGACGATGCAGGACTCCCCTCGCTAAACACGAATGCACCCCGAGATTTTCCAGTTTAGTCTCTGAGAAATGCTGCTCACAACTTTTCAAATTCAAACGTCCGGTTTGAAAAGTTGACACTGCCCTATTGTCCTGTGAAATCTTCTCCAGGACTTTTGCCTCCTCCTGGCTCCTCCTGAGACCTTGCTGGCTTCCTCCCTGCCCATCTTGCCCGTGGGGTGCGGTCCCCCGAGGGCAGGGACCTGGCCTTGCTCCAGCCCATCTTCTAGGCTCTGAGAACCGTGCCTGTGCTCGTGATGCTCCATAATTATCTGTTGAGCAAGCGAACCAGTGGGTGCTGGAACCCAGGGGACCCTGACACCCCCCCCCCGCCGCAGCAGGCTTCTCTAATGGGTTTTTCTCCTCTTCCCAGCCTGCCCCGGGCTCCAGCCTTGTCCCGGACACCCTGGCCCTGCGGCCGTGCGTGACGCCATGTGCCCTCTGCTCCTGTTGTACCTGCTGCCCTGTGTCTCCGGGCTGCCCTTCTACAACGGCTTCTACTACTCTAAGCCCAATGGCTGGAACCTGGGCAACAGCCACGGCGAAGGTGGGCGGCCTCCTGGATCTAGCTCTGGGCTCCACTGGGTGACCGAGACCTCTCCTGACTCCTGCTGTGATATGCAGGTTCCAGGCCGGGACAGGGCACGGAGCCAGCAGCCCCTTCCCTATCCGGGCCCTTGCAGGGGACCAGGTGCATTTCTAAGATCACTGCAAGGGCTGATTCAGTTACTCCGTTTGCTAGGCCCTCAGGCTTGAGCGCATTGGAACCGAAAGCACTTGACAATCTCACCTGTGCGGGACACAGGTATGCTTAAGAATGCTCCTGAAGTTGCCAGTTTTCCAAGATCAAAATTAAATGTGACCTCCCTTGGAGTTCCTCAGTGGAAAGGGGGTTTGAGGTTAGACAGATGAGAGTTTGAATCTCAATTTTGCCACTTACTAGCTACGTGGCTTTGGGCAGGTGACTTTTAAAAATATTTTTTTAAATGTTTATTTTTGAGAGAGGTGGGGAGGGGTAGAGAGAGAGGGAGATGCAGAATCCCAAGCAGGTTCCAGGCTCTGAGCTGTCAGCACAGAGCCTGACGCGGGGCTCAAACCCATGAACTGTGAGATCATGACCTGAGCCAAAGTCGGACGCTTAACCGACTGAGCCACCCAGGCACCCCTGGGCAGGTGACTGTTTAGTTAGCATGTGTTGTGCACCTACTATGTGTCAGGCATGCTTCTAGCACCTTCCATACATGGTCTCATAATCCTCACAAACACCTGACCTATAGGCAAGCTTAACAACCAGCATAATGGAGGCACCAACCGGGCCAAGCTGATGCCGGCTGCCCTTGCAGCCCCGAAAGCAGATCCTGTGGATTATTTCATTTCATAGATGAGCTAACTGACGCTCACAGAGTTGAGCCAGCTTCCCAGGGAACGCAGATCTTAAGAACCCATGCTGAGATTGGTTTGCGGAAGGACAGAGGGGACAAACACTTCCCAGGCCCTGGTCGTGATGTGAGCCTCCCTCAGGCTCTTGGGGAGAATCCGTTCCCTGGCCCTCCCACTGTCTGGTGGTTGCTGATGGACCTTGACTTACAGCTGCGTCACCCCGTCCCTGCCTCCATGGTCGCGTCGCCTTCCCGTTCCATCCTCCCCTCTCCTCGGCCTCCTTCTAAACAGATACTTGTGGCTGCAATCCTTAACTTAGTCCCACCTGTAGACTCCACTTTGCTGTAGAAGGTGACCCTCACAGGTTCCAGGAATCAGTGATGGATGGCTTGGGGCATCCATGACTTGACCTCCCACCCTCCTTTGCCTTAGAACTTATTTTTTGTACAAACGCTACTTTAAGGAGATTCAAGGAAACTTACAAACGGAAACTTTCTACCCGTGATCTCACCATTTCCCGTCAGTCTCTGAATACGTGTGAGCAAAATCACAAAGAGCTCCCCCCACCTGAGGGAACCATTACTGCCATTTCAGATGTATCCCTCCAGCCTTTTACATAAGATTAAGAAAACTGTCTTCAACCTCCTGCTATACATGTGATTTGGGAATCTTGCCATCACTTCGTAGAATACAGCTCTTCCCCCCAAGGTCAGTGAGTGGATATACAGCTGCCAAGCTATTTTACCTGGCTGTGTAGTGTTTGTTTTTTGTGTGTTTTTGGTTCCTGGCTGTGTAGTGTTTAGTTGTACGGATGCATTATGATTCAGCCAAATGTTCTCATGGTCTTCGGGTTACAGCTTCAAACACAGCTTGACCAAAGAGCACTGGGGAACACAAAGGATGTAGCCACGGAATGAGAGTCCTGACTCACGTCTGTTGGGCCCGTTTTGTGTGCCAGGTTTCCCACCTCACCTGATTTGGGCCTCACCTCGGCCCGCCGTTGGTACTATTACTACCCTGTTCTACAAATAAGGAAAGTGGTTTGCAGAGTCGGTGGACGTCTCTAGACTAGATCAGATTAGCTTTGTGGAAAGTTGGAGCCGAGATGCAAGGCTGGCTTAGCTGCCTCCGGGCCTGTGGTCTCAAACCTCCGTGCCCACTGCCTGTCCAGGGTTCTCCAACTTGAGTGACCAGCCAAGTCACTTGGAGAACTGTTAAAACACTGATCACTGGGCCTCCCCGCCCCCCCCGGAGTTTTTGATTCAGGAGGTCTGGGCTGGGGCCCAGGAGTTTGCATTTCTAACAAGTTCCCAGGAATGTTGCTGCTGCTGGCTCAGGGACCCCGCTTTGGGAACCACTGCACCAAAGCATCTGGCTTTTGCAGCCTGAGGTCCTCTGCAGGGAGCCTCTTATCTCCTGCTTGCCCCAAGCCTACCCCCCTCCCCCACCCTGTGTCCCTCCAGGGGTCTAAGTCCAGGCCCAATATCAGGAGATAGGCCTCTGTACTGGGTCCCAAGTTAAAGATGAGCCAGCCTCAGCATAAATCTGGTTCTGGGGCGGGGGGTGTTTGTTAGGCTCTGTGTTTATTGGCACCCGTGAGCCCTGAGTATTGTCTCCTGTAGAAGTCCTGGCCTCCTCTCACCTGTGTTTCTAGGTATTTGGGGAAGAATCATGGATGACAGGTGGACAGACAGCGAAGGACAAGCTGTGCTCTTCCGTGGTTAGCATGGTAGGGAAGGACACTCAGGGCGATCTGAGTCCCAACCAGCCACCTGATATGGGGCGCTCTTATCACCTAACTACATCAGCTAGCTTCTTATGCACTAACTTAATGGCTTAAGACAACAGCGGTGGTTTTTCGGTTTTGTTTTGTTGCTTATTCCATGGGTCAGCATTTTGGGCTGGCCGCCATTTCCTCACAGACTGTGCCTGCAGTCCGGGGACAGGTCGGCTGGGGGCTGCGTGGCCTAGGACGGCCTCAGCTGGGAGGGCTCGTCTCTGCTCCACGTGGGGCTCTCCTTCTCCAGCAGGTGAGCCCAGGCTCGTTCTCATGGAGGCTGGCAAGGTTCCGAGAAGGAGCCGAAGCAGCGGGGCCTCCTGGAGCCCAGGCTCAGAACAGTCACCCCTGCCAAGTTCATTTGGTCAACGCGAGTGGCAAGGCCAGCACGGATTCGAGGGGAAGGGGACGCAGAGTCCCATTGCAGAACGGGTGCGGCGTTAGGGCGGTTCTTACAACGTGTTAATTCCCGGGCCTGGCGGGAGCTGGGGATGAGGAGCTGGGGGTGGCCGCTGCAGGGGTACACGTGTGCCCCACGGGTCCCCATCTGCACCCCACTTCTCCCGCAGGCGTCTTCAACGGGGTGAGGCTGGTGGTAGAGACGCCCGAGGAGACCCTGTTCTCCTACCGAGGGGCCAATGTGACCCTGCCGTGCCACTACCACTACGAGCCGGCCCTGCTGTCCCCGAGGCCCGTGCGCATCAAGTGGTGGAAGCTGTCAGAGAACGGGGCCCCGGAGCGGGATGTGCTGGTGGCCATCGGGCTGAGGCACCGCTCCTTCGGAGACTACCGAGGCCGGGTGTGTCTGCGGCAGGACAGGGAGCACGAAGTGTCGCTGCAGATCGGGGACTTGCGGCCGGAGGACTACGGGCGTTACCGCTGTGAGGTCATTGACGGGCTGGAGGACGAGAGCGGCCTGGTGGAGCTGGAGCTGCGGGGTGAGGCCCTGAGAAACCATCTAGAACTCTGTGCGTTAGACAAGCATGCAGTCCTCAGGACCACCCCTGCTGTTATCATCAGTCTGGTTTTATAGATGAGGAAACAGAGGCAACAGGGGCGTCAAGTAACTTCCCTAAGGTCTCACAGCTCATGAATGGCAGCGTAGGACGTCGACCCCAGGCAGTCGGGCTCCAGAACCCTCTACTCCCTCTGGCTCACACCCTCTTCAGAGGAACTGGCCCCACAGCCAATTAGAGACGGAGCTGAGACGCTCCCAAAACCAAAGAGGCTGCCCGGTGCGAGTGACAGGAGTAGGGGGGACTGAACCCTCCACTCAGTGGCTGAACCCTCATCCCATCCCAAAGGAGTGCCCCACTCAGGTCCGGAAGCAGAGTCCGTGCAGCCAGGTTTCTGATTTGACAAGAGAAGTGTATATTTTTACGTGAAATCTCTGGATTTTTATGTAAGGCTCTTCTAAAAGACGAAAACCCCAAACCAAAAAAACCCAACAGTCACAAACCAGTGCTGTCCAAACCAGCCAGGCCCTGTGTGCGGGCTCCAGTGGACAGTCCCGTCTCTGTCCCTAGGACGGGGCTGTGCGTCCTCAGACCTCTCCTACCTGTGAGGGAGACGGCTGGGACGGACGGAGAACCGTGTTCAGGCCCCACATCCACCCCCTCCCAGCCTGGCGTCCTGGGTAGACGCCTCATCCCCTGGGAGCTCCTGTCCCCTCCCGCGTGAGATGAGGGATGGGGTAGCACCTCCTGTACCTTCTTCTGAGAAGTTGAACATAAAATGCAAGTCAAGGGCTCTTACCATCAGCACCTGCCTCCCTAGCCCACCTGGCGGCCGGAGGGGTCACATTCCTCATCCCTGATGGCGGGGCCGGTGGGGATGGGAGGATGCCAGCACCGGCAGGTGAGAGCCCTCGGCCAGGTCACAGACTGCTCGCCGTGTCCTCACAGGGTGGAAGGGGCGAGGGGGCATCATCTCCTTCACGAGGATGCCACCCTCATGACCTAAGTGCCTCCTGAGGGTGGCCTCCTGATCCCATCACATCAGGCCTCAGGATTTCAACATATGATCTGGGCGGGGGCGAGGGGGGGGGGACACAATGGAGACCACAGCTCTGGGGTTCCTGCGACAGCCCTGTGAATTAGGTGGCATTCCCACTCTATACGTGGGGACATTAACTGGCTGATCCGTTCATGAGCTTAACCAGCCACTACGTGTTTTCAGAGTGCCGGGGGCAGGGACCGGGGTCTCCAGCCGGCTGGGCCACCCGTTCCAGCCCCTCTGTCCTCCCTCCCCAGGTGTGGTCTTTCCCTACCAGCACCCCCAGGGCCGCTACCTGCTCAACTTCCGTGAGGCCCAGCGGGCGTGTGAGGAGCAGGACGCGGTGGTAGCCTCCTTTGAGCAGTTATTCCGGGCCTGGGAGGAGGGCCTGGACTGGTGTAACGCGGGCTGGCTGCAGGACGCCTCGGTGCAGTACCCCGTCACACTGGCCCGGCAGCCCTGTGGTGGCCTGGGCCTGGCGCCCGGGGTGCGCAGCTACGGCCCGCGTCACCGCCGCCTGCACCGCTATGACGTGTTCTGCTTCTCCGCTGCCCTCAAGGGTGAGTGCCGTGGCCAGGCACAGGCCAGGGGTGGGAGGGCGGCATCTGGGGGAACGTTAGGACCTCCCTGCCCGCTCTGCCTGCACCTTCGCCTGGAGGTCTGGAGCACCTGCCGACACTGAAGCCACGTCTGGCTGAGTGTTTGAGTGCTTTGCTGCTGTTTCACACCAATCGCTGGTTTCCTCGTTCATCAGATGTGTTTTGAGAGCCTACTGCGTGCTAGGGCCCAGCCTAGGCTCTGGGCATCATAGACAAATACAGCATCGTCTGTCCCACAAAGAGGATCATTTCATGGGAAGATAAAAACAGACATGGATTCACGGTCACTCAGAAGAGTGTCCGGGCACGTAGTAGGTGCTCAGTAAATGACTGAGTGGGCGAGAGACTCCGATTGGTCCAGCCTAGGTGGGGTGCCCACCCAGGGTGCAATTAAGAGTGGGGTGGAGCACAGACACGACTGGAGGGACTGGAGGGACCCCAGCCCCAGAGCAGATGGGATGGGACTCTCAGAGAAGGGGTCAGAACTGGGAAGGTATCCCCTGAATATCCATGGCAGAACCCCCTGGGCTCCTAATTGCTAGGCCTCTGGAGACTGGCATTTCTGCAGCTGCCCCCTCCCCCCGTCCTCTCTGGCTGCCCCCTGCGCTGCCCCGCCCTCACACCCCACTTTCCCACAGGGCAGGTGTACTACCTGGACCACCCTGAGAAGCTGACGCTGGCCGAGGCCAAGGAGGCCTGCCA